AACTTTTAAGTGTATTATAGAAACAATGTTATCATGATAGTTATGCTGACAGACTATATGTAGCTCTTGATCTGTTTTCTCTCTAAAATTTATATAACTGCTGTCTGTTAATATTTTGCAAAGATTCAACCACTAAAAAAACCTTAATTGATAAAAATTAATAGTCCTCTGGCTATATTTTATATTTCAAAGTGCTTGATATTCAGATAAAATTATGATAATTAAGCTCACTGCTCCCACTACAGTGCTGATGTCACTGATCTTCCCTTCTGGATGTACAACAACTGAAGTTTAAATTAAGGTGTTTTGTTTTGTCCTTTTGTGACAAGGTCTTGCTGTGCAGTTCAGGCTGGCCTTAAGCTCACTTTGTAGCCCAGGCTAGCTTCAAACTTGCAATGATCCTCCTGCCTCAGCCTCCTGAGTGTTAGGATTACAGGCCTGTGCCACCACGCTTGGCATTAACTGAAGTTTAGAGACCAGAACTAGAAAGATAACTGGGCCAAGAAAACAGCAATATTTTGGCTCTGGCCCTCCGAGGTCAACGAGAACCCAGGAAATGAGGGAACCTTTTCTACAAGATTCTACAACTTTGGTGAGTCACCCAAACTCCTGAACAGGAAGATTGCTGGACCACCAAAGGACAGGAATCAACAAGTGTACATTGTGTCAGTGGAGGGTCACCAAGAGGGAAAAGTCTCCCATGTTTTCACAGAAAGCAGCATGGTCAAGCAAGTCTGTGACCCATCCTGGTGACTGCCACTGACAGAGGAGCTGAGCAGCTTTATATATGGCCCTAAAGAAATGCCTGAGGGTACTTAACTGAACTTGATAGACAGCAAGAGCTTAATTTGATTAACACAGATCTCACTTTAACTTGGTCTTGAACAGAAAAGCATAACCAAAAATATATAAAACAATGTCATAATAATAAGCTAGATATAAAAAGGGGGTCCAATTGCTGACCCTTCTGGCAGTTTCCACTGTTACAGGAAAAAACAAAAACAAAACCAATGAAAGCTCAACAAAAATCTTTAAATTCTTTAGATAAAATCAGCTAAAACTAGAGACTTATGACAAACTATCAGATTCCATCAATAAAGGCGTCTAAGAGTCAGTGGGTTACAATCACTATTTCAGTCCCTTAGAAATAGTTTCTAGACTTGGCTCTTTTCCCAGACTGCCTTTGCCTTCTAGTGCTCATGCTTTGATTATACATGATGTAATTTCTGAAAAAATTTGTTTTGAAACACAATTACAAACACAAAAAGGGGAAATATGGTTGCCTCCACATGCACAATTAGATCTTGCTGACTTTACCTTAAATTGTTTGAACCTGGTTGCAGAAAGTAACTACCCTCCATCAGAACTTCACTGGCAAGAGGACAAATCCAGTGAGCATGCTTAGGGCCCAAGTCCTATAGAAAGACATTGAAACAGGAAAGTGGAATGGCCCAGTGTAGTTGATAACACAGGGTCAAGGGCATGCTTGTGTATTAACAGACAATATTATGCAGTTATCGCTGACCTCCCAGAACATGGGATGGAGAAAGGAACATCCCAGCTCCATGGTGGAGCCTGTTCCTGTGTGGCCCTCCAGTGTGAGCATTTTTGAGGATGACCCTGGAGGACAGCTCAATACCTCAAGCACTGAGATCCACACAGGCTGCAAAACGTATGAATGGGGACAACTAAAGAAGACAACACAGGAGGCTGGAACACAGGGCCTACCACAATCTCCTGAGAGTATGTTTGTTGCTATGATGGCCATCGCCATACACTGTTTTAACTGCTACAATTACAAAAACAAAAAGGGAGAAATATTAAGGACCACAAATTATGAAGTGAGGCTAGGGCCTGGAGGCCTTAATGGTGGCCTTAATGGTTCCATGATGCTATGATGCTCCAGGGCAAGATTTCATCAGCATAAGATCCACATCAATTTAAAATCACTGTCACCCTTTGAGTCATCCGATAATCCCTCCGATTATTGTGTACATCCAATAAATAGTGGCTAGCCTGGACTGTCACTGTCTCTGCCCATCCTGAGGCATTGATCTCTCAGCCCCTCTTTTATGAATTACTACATTTGTCTCTGTTTTCTTCTTTATCCTTCACTGTACCCCTCATACAAGGCAGTTGGGGATCTTGGCCATGTCCTCAGTAGAAGAAAATATTATTAAATGTAGATTCAGCTTAAATGGGGGTCATGAATGTAGCCATTACATTGTGAATAGCAGAAAAATGTGGCAATACTTTCTGATACTTTAAGACCATTATCCAGCTCAGCAAAGACGTCATTGATATCACTGATGAATGACTAAAGTGCCAAGACATAAATCCTTGTCAGGAAACATTACTGCACCTAAAGGAAAATATCAACCAACATTCATGTCAGAACATGAGTTCATGAACAGCAACTATAAGCTGTCTAAAGATACCAGTGCTTGGCAAAAATCAATAGTATTCTGTGAGAATTTGATTACATTTAAAAGTTATTTCCTGATGTATGTGTGTTTTCTTTAAGTTTTCTGTTTTAAAGTGTCCATGATGAAGTGCTTTAATCTTTTAAAAGCCAGTTGTATTATTTATTTAATTTTTGGTACCAGGAGTCAAACTTAGGACCTCATGCTTGCCAGGCATGTGCTATGCCACTCAGCTAAATCCCCAGCCCCCAAAAAAGCCAATTTTAAAAATGCCTTTACTAAAGCAATCTGAAGATAAATTTTAGGTAATTAGATCTGGTGGATTGACAACTAGTGGCCAACTTGTAACCTCCAGGTGGACTGAACTAGCATGGTGCTGGGTGTGGGAGGCCCACCTGAGGATTGTTGCCAGCAACATAAGAGGCAGAACTGGAGAGAAAGAAGTTTAGATGGTGTTGGGAGCTGGTGGAAGCTGTGGGGTGCTGTTAGAAGCTGTAAGGAGCTGTTGGTTCTCTTGGAGGAGTTTGTCATGCTGGCTTTCCTGATGAACTCCACTGCTGTCATTGTCCAAGGAGCTCAGGACCTTGTTGTCGCTGAGAATAGCTTCAGTTCACTTTGGGGGAGCTCTGGTCCTCACTTTGAGCAGCGCTTTCTAGCTTCAGAGGGGAAGATGGTGCACTGCCGGTCTCCTGGAGAAGCTTGTTGCGTTGGCTTTCCTGATGGGAACTCGGCCATCCTGATCATCGGAGGAGCTCAGGACCTCGCTGTTGCTGAGGATGGCTGTGGTACTTTGCAGGGGAGCTCTGGTTCTCACTTTGAACTTCCTGACTCTAGTTCATATCCCTCAGCCTGCTAGCACAGATAAAATATGTGTCTTGTATTATATCATCCCTTTTGCAAAAACCCCAAACTACAACATCCCCTCCCACCGAGATAAGAAAATGAGCACATTTAGATTTTATAAACGTAGTGCACTCTTAGAAAAACTGTTGCCATATAAGGAAGGAAATACAGGAGTTGGAAGGAAATGGCATTATAGCTTTTTAATTAATTAAACCTAGAAAGGAAATTCATTCAGCAATGTAATATAGAAATTATTTGTTTATATTTGTAAGGGAGTATAATGCAAGCAGTTAGCTGGTGTGCAGAGCTCTCTCTCTGTTGCCATTCGAGCCAAGTCATCCCAGCAGCTGAGCATTAGTTAACAGTTGTTTTTCTAAACTAAAACCTCAGTATTCAGGTTTAATTGCAGTGTGGTCACTGCAATAAATAAGTGGGTTTGGATTTACAGTTTGGGCACTTGGTCTCTAAAATGTTCACTATCACTGGTCAAAACTAAACAGAAAAACCTGGCCTTAAGAATCAAATTGCTAGATCAGTGATGATTTGGGAAAGGCTTTCTTGAGTTTTGAGTAAAGACTTTGGTTATTTTCAGTGATTAATACAGATATGGGTTAGTGAAATGAAACCAAAAGTTTGAGTTGTTGGGGGGGGCGTATATGTTTTCCTGTAGCAAGTTTACCTATTTTTCAAAGTAATTTTTTCCTTTTGGAAGGTGTTGTGGGGGACAGTAACGATGAATAGGGTTCCCATCTACTTTTCTCTGCAGGAACAGACACAATATTCACAAAGCTTGGCTGACTGATAGGTCTTTATTTCCCGAAGACTAAGCATGGAAGCCAGGGTTAGTTTAGAGTTCTGGCTTCATTAACATATCTGCCTGTAGGGTTTGGGGGAGAACCAGTTCACTGAGCTTTAGTTCCCTCATTTACCACATGAAGCTGACAATAGCCGTTTTTTAAATATATAAAGACATATTTGATTTGGCTCGAATGCCAACAGAGAGCTCTGCACGCCCGCTGGCGCGCATGCCACAGGTTTGGCAGTAGCGGCAGGCAATGTTGGGGCCCATGTACAGTTAAGATTTGTTTGAAACAGGGTCTGTTGTATATTCCAGGCTGGCCGCGAACTGGAAGTGATCCTCCTGCCTCAGCCTCCCGAGTGCTGGGATGACAGGCGTGTGCCACCACATCTGGCTTGAGTTAAGATTTTGTGTGAAGCTGTAAGTTTCTGAGCTAGGCTGACAAGATTCTGACCTGAAAAGTGGCCTCGAGAAATGATGGGCCGAGGTCCCCACTTCGAAAGAGACACAAAACTAGGACCGGTAAAGCTCCCTGGGACAATGGGACTCGTCAGGTGCGGGGTGGTGTCTAGGCCCAGGCTTGCCTGGGTCTGATAAGGGATGAAGTTACTGCAGAAGTCATTCCGGAGGTTGCAACCTGTTTGGGGGCGGGGATGGGATCCCGGTGGTTCCCATTCCCAGGGCTTTAGCCCTGCCTAACAACAAAATCTCCAAGAGCCCTTTCCCGGGAGTCCCTATTGGTCCTGTCTGCACCTCCCGCCTCTCTTCTGCTTCCCTGCTACGCTTGTCGCTCACCTACGTGTAGCCAATCAGCCCTCCTAGGTTGGGCTACTGGGCCAAAGAAGAAGGGGGAGGTACCCCTCGACGCACCAATAAATGCGCACGCTCACACGGTAGGGGCGGGCCTGTAGCTATAAACGAGCCAATCGCTCTTCCCCAGTAGCTGGCGGCGCAGGAGGCAGTTGCTCGCGCGCTTGCTTTCTCAAGATGGCGGCGGCCAAGGACGATGGTACCTCAGGAGAAGCGGCTCTGGGGAGTGGGCGGCGGCTCCACCTGGGAATTCCTGAGGCTGTGTTTGTGGTAAGGGTCCCACCGTCCCTGGCATCTTGGCTCGAGGCCGAGGACTGTTTTTCCTTTTGGCCCTCCAGAGCCAGAACTGTTGGGGGTGGGGAGCTGAGGCAAAGGTCCACGTAGGGAGCCCTCAGCCGTTCTCCCTCCTCCTCAGGACCGAATGAGCTCTGCGGGGCTCGTCCTGGGGAAACGCAGCCCGAAAAGACGGTGGGAGCGCGGAGGCCGCGGGTGTGGAGCGGGCATCCCCGGAGGGCGGGCCGGCGGTGCCGCAGCCGCCGCGCGCGGCTGGAGGGAGCCGGGAGGGCGCCTGGGGGCGGGCCGTGGGACGAGGCGGCCCCCGTGTCCCCGCGGCACGTGGCGGAGGGCTCTGGTGCGAAGGAGGAGCGGGCTGTGCGGGCCGGCGAGGGTGTGCCGAAGCCGTGCGGGCGGGACTCGGCGTCCGGCCGGCAGCGGGCTGCCCTTCGCAGGCGTCTTCGAAAGACCGCGCGGGAGCCGTGCTTGCCCTTCGGCGCGTCCCTGCGGGTTGTGGTAGAGAGCGCGCTGCACGCGGTGGCGCGCAGAGGCGGGGGTGCGGTTTGAAGGTGGCGCAGAGTCGGGAGACCGAGCCGTCCAGAGAGAAGCAGGTGGAAGCCGTGGGCCTTAGTCTCTCATCAAGCTCTCCGAAGATAGCTTTGGGAAGCTGTTAAAAGTAACGACAGAATCCTCGAATGGCTTTCCTCTTTCGTTGTACTGAGCTACTATAAAGTCTTGGGATTTTCTCTTCCTTTTTGTTAATCGTGTCTGACGTGCTTAAAACAGCCCGTTTTTAGACCATACTTTATATGGTATGTTTGCATTGTTTGGATTGAATTTTGTAATTACTTGCGTTATTCTGTGTTTTCTGTCCGAACTGTGCCATTTACTTCTTTACGTTTATCTCAGCTGATGGTAACAAGAAATAACATTTGCTGAACGTCAGGTATTTTCTGAATTATTTTACAAAAGCCTAGGGGATAGTTACTGTTACCATTATCATCATTTTGTGCGTATGAAACTGAGAAATAGAGCCCTTGAGTAACCAGTCTCAGGAGAGGATGTAGAGATGTCCACTTGATGTTAGCCAGAAGGCCGAGAAGTGATGTAGAGGTGTCCTGAATTTGAATTTGGGCAATGTGTGGGCTCCAGAGCCTCTACCTACTCTCATGCTCTGCTGCTGGGAGGAGAATAAGGTAAGTTCTCTTCCTTCATGTCATTTTTCCTAGGCCTAGCATGGTGTCTGACACATAGTATAAGCTCCTAAGTTAGCGCAGCATCCATAGTGCTCAGCTAGACCTGACTTCAGAAGTCTAATTCAGGAAAATAAACTGTATCTGAAGATTTTATGAGGTCTTATAATGCTTTTCCCCCTAAAATTTTAATGGATTATTTTTTCTAGAACTTCAGACTTTCACCAACATCATGTAGTGAGGGACCCATATTTTACATAATTATTTTTGTTCCCAAACTTAACAGTGACATGGTATTGTAGAAAGAACATTAGATTCTACATAGATGAGAGTTTGAAACCTACCTTTGTTTCCCAGTTGCTGCTTAGCCTTGAACATCTCACTTTGCCACTTGGCGCCTATTTCTTTAACTTGCAAATATAGTAGGTGCTGAATAGACGTTGCTTTCTACACTAATAACAGGCGGTATACGACAGTTATTAGTTTCGCCTAGCCTTTTCCCCAACTCTACTGGTACAGTAATCTTTTTTTTCTTTCATTCCTTGAATTGTCCTTTTTACCCTTACCTATCTGGTATACGCTTCATTTTTTACTATTTGTTTCAGATATTACCTCCTTGAGATTTTTCCTGACCTGTATTTTATAACAGCATTCTTGGTATTTCGTTTTATATTCCTGTAGCACATTGTATTATACAGACTTTCCATATATTTTCATCTATTTCCTGATCCTTATCTACTTAATTAGGTTTTCTTTAAAGAGTAGGTGGTACATATTAAAATTTTTTAAATAGTATACTTTTGCTTATTTATTTCAAGAGATTGTTCTGTTTGCTTTTTAGGTTTACACTACTTTATTTCAACTACTTCATACTTAAGGAAGCCTTTGTGGCTCACCTTCGGAACCTGGTGATCATACTTGGCATGATTTCTATTGCATACCTTGTTGAATTAAAAATAAGTAATCAGTAATTTTGACGTGCACTTGGTTGAATCATTTTATGGCCAGGGCACACAAATAGGCAATGTCTTTGATGACTGGTAATTTTCATATGCATGGGAAATGCATAAAGCAAGCAAGGTCATTCTTATCTCCATACTTATGAAATAAATAAAAATTAAAAGAAGGTGAAGGAGAATAAATTAGCTACATAATGTATATAAATTGTCTGAAGTGGTCTCTTTTTTTTCCTGTGTTACTGGGAATTGAATCCAGCAAACACTTTTTTGAGTTAAAAACAAACTTTTGGAGAAAAAGAAAGCCTTTTATGTTTTAAAAAGAAAATAGTAATAAGTCAGATGAGTGATATAAATTCTTAAAATTTGTAATGTATTCTTGTTTTTTTTTTTTTTTTTTTACGGTACTGGGGATCGAACTCACGACTTTGTGCTTGACAGGCAGGCACTTATGCCACTGAGCTATATCCCCAGCCCCTTGTATTCTTGTTTTTAAAGGAAGATGTAGACTCTTTCATGAAACAGCCTGGGAATGAGACTGCAGATACAGTATTAAAGAAGCTGGATGAACAGTACCAGAAGTATAAGTTTATGGAACTGAATCTTGCTCAAAAGAAACGGAGGTAAGTACAAAATTTCTTTTTAAAAAAAAGCTTGTAAGTCTTGAACTTTTTCAGTTTTTTGAGGCAAGGTCTCACTAATGTGATCCAGGTTGACCTTGAACTCATAATCCTCCTACTTCAGCCTTCTGAGTGCAGGGATTATAGGCGTACACCCCAAGCTTTACATACAATAAAATATCCGTGTAGCAAATGTTTAGTTTGATGAATTTTGACAAATGTATCCAGTTCTCTCTGGAATTGATTCTTGCCCAGATCAAAATATTCCATAACCCCAGGAAGTTCTTTCATGACTCTTTCCAGTCACACTCCTCACCTCCAGAACAACCATAAATTTTTTTCCACTATAAATTAGTTTTGTTTGTTCTTGAATGGAATAAATGGAAGCATTGGTAGCTACTGTTTTCAGTTTTCTTAGTATAATACTTTGAAAATTGTCTGTGATGTTGTATATATCAGTAAATTAGTTTAAGTGTTGTGTCCCATTGTGTATAGATTTACTACAGTTTTAATATATTTTAATCGGTCTGCCTATTTTGATTGCTTCCTCTTTTTGGCATTGTCCTGATATGAGCATCTGTTTTCATTTATTCTGGGTAATATCCAGAGTTGGAATTGCTAAAGTGTGTGTTTGGTTTTATGAGAAACTGCCAAAGCCCTCCAAATTGACTATATCATGCTATGTTCCCACCAGAAGTATACAAGAGGTCCAGCTATGTCACATCCTTGCTAGCAGTTGGTGTTGCTAGTCTACAGGTAGTTTGCAAACATAACAGGATGAATGTTGAAGACTTTATTCCAAAGTGTCTAGGATCATATAGCATTGACCCTTCTAATTTTGCTAATGAAAGATCCATAAGGGATTGACTTTCCCAGGATTTCGTGATTAATAGGCATAGGTCAAAGGAATCCTTGCTCTCAGTTCTTGTTGTATTTTTTATATAGCATATAAAGTGAGTTCACTATAATCTTTGTGGATTTTTTTTTTTGGTCCTTTTGAGACAGGGTTTCACTATGCAGCTCAGGCTGGCCTTGTGCTCACTTTGTAGCCCAGGCTGGCCTCGAACTTGCGGTGGTCCTCCTGCCTCAGCCTCCCAAGAGCTGGGATTATAGGCATGCACCACCACACCTGGCAAGTGGATAGTTTTGTTGTGTAGGTCTCAGTATTGTACTATTGGTTGAATATTTAGGGAATATCAACCATGTGCCACATGAAGTAAAGTTTAGTATCTGCTTCCAGCACAGCACAAGGACATAGTCTAGGATGTGTGCTAGGTATATAAATAAAATAAGTGTACCACACAGAGCAGTAGAGATGCTCTGGTACAAAGTGCTATTAGCATAGAGCAAGGTGTGGATCTAGAGGAAGCTTCTAAGAGTAGCAAATGACTAACATTTCAAATGTATGAGTTTGGAGGCAGGTGACAGGGAAGAGTAGTCTGGGCACGAGGTACATAGTTTTGTTTTTAGATAAATATTGTTTGATTTGGGTGAAAATGGAAGAAATTTGAATATAGGCTGAATATTAGATGAGATGCAAAGCCATTGACATGGAAAGATAGTATTAATGGACAAAAGCAGGATAGAAAACACTATGAACAGTATGCTCTCATTTTAGAAAAATCTAAATGCACACAAATATCTGGAATGACCCACATTAAACGTGCATTAACAGCTGAGCGTGGTGGGGCATACCTGTAATCCCAGTACTGGGGAGGCTGAGGCAGGAGGATTGCCAGGAGTTCAAGGCCAACCTGGGATACATAATGAGTTCAGGCCACTATATCGAGACATTGTCTTAAAAAAAACCAAAAACAAACCAATAAAAAAAGGTGTATTAATAGTAGTAATCTGCATGGTAAAAATAGAGTATTTTTCTTATTTTGGTTTGTTTGTGTCTTTATTTTTTTATAATGTACATACATGTACTGATTTTGTGAGGGTAAAAGTTTTTATCTTTAAAAATAAGCACAAAGTCATTAGATTAGAGAAAGCCTACAGGCAGGTTACATAGAGAAGAAAATGAAATAAACCTTGGGAAATCCAGGTGTGGTGGCGCACACCTATAATCCCAGCACTTGAGAGGTTGAGGCAGGAGGATCCTTGGAAGTTCGAGACCAGCCTGGGCTACAAAGTGAGCTCAAGGCCAGCCTGAACTGCATAGCAAGACCCTGTTTCAGAAAGACCAAAAAAAAAGAAAGAAGCCCTTGGGGAGAGGGGGAAATTTGTGTATCAAAGATAGTTAATATTGCAAACTCTAGTACCTGTGGTACAGTTGAACACTCAATGCAGCTTTACATAGGCTTTATGCCTTAATGTAGTAGTGACGATTATAACATATACCTGCACCCTTCCTAACTAGATATACCTGGGATACATTAGTGAACCAAACAGACAATGCGTCTAGCCCTGGGGAGGTCACAGTCTAATGGGATCTAGACAGTAAAAGTTCAATAATTATTTATTGTGTACCTAACATGTTCTAGGCATCATCCTAGGCACTTAAAAACAAACGGATAAAAATTTCTGTCCTCACAGAACTGACGTTCTAGTGAGATAAAAATTTATATCATAGGTTACAAGGTGCTTAGGAAATAGGAAATAAAACAGAATGAGGGGGTGTGGATGTCAAGTTGTAGCAGCAGCTAAGGGTTTTGAGAAGGTGAATAACGTGATCAAACTATGTGAATCACTTGGGTTGTTGGTTTATAATCTCAAGGACAGAAGCAAGGCCTTTTTCCTAATGAAGGTAAGGTTGATGATAGCTTGAGCCAACGTGGTGCCAGTGAGGGTTGGTTGGAAAGAGTCAGATTGTGAATCTAGTTTGAAGTTGGAGCCAGCATGATCTGGTTCATTAGAGGTGGACTGTGAAAGAGAGGCATGGAAGTGCCTCTGAGGTCAGAATTGTTGGGAGAGTAGTTGTCATCTCTGATGGGTCAGAGTGGGGAGAACAGTTTGAGGGAAAAACTGGGAGATCAGTTCTGGACATATTTGAGAATCCTTTGGGACATCCAAGTGGAAATATTAAATAGGCAATTAAATGTATGAGCCTGAAATTTGGGAGAGGTCTGGGCTGGAGGCAAATTGGGAATCATCCAGAAAAAAAATCCAGATTAAAAAGAAGCTGCTAGTGAGGTCAGAGGGAAACCAGGAGACTGTGGGGTTCTGGAAGCCAAACTAGGAACAGTTCACAGAGGAGGAAATGATCTTTGTCAAATAATTGCTAATGGCTAAGGTGAGATCAGAACTGAGAATAGACTTGGATTATACAAAGTGGAAGTTATTGGTGTTGTAAACGGGAACAGCGCCTGTCAAGTGTTTTAAAAGAGAGTGGTAGAATAATAACACAGTGAATGAAGAAAACTTTTTTACCCATTTAATAGTGGGTTGATTCTCTAATTGTAGGAGTTCTTTTTATGCATTGGGTACTGTTATGGTTTAGAACTAGAACATTTCCTCCAAAGCCTTTGCTCTTTTGAAGAGGCAGAGAATATCTAGTGTGTCCCTTTTTTAGGATGTTCACTGCCCATGTCCATTAATTTTGAGTTGCAAAATGATATTCAAATTCACTTTTTCTCCATTTATTAAAAAGCTGACCTATTTCTACAAAGAGAAATGTCACTTCATGTGCTGTTTGTTAAAAGTGACTGCAGGGCCAGGCGTGGTGGCGCACTCCTGTAATCCCAGCACTCGGGAGGCTGAGGCAGGAGGATCGTTGCGAGTTCGAGACCAGCCTGGGCTACAAAAGTGAGCTCAACACTAGCCTGAACTGCATGGGGAGACCCTGCCTCAAAATGACAAAAAAAAGAAAGTGACTGCAGGAAATTAGTTCACCACTCAGTGTTTTTCTCTGGCGGGAGTCTTATCCTTGTATCCCCCTCACAGCACCTCTCTGTTCTCTTCCAACAGAGGAGTTGTGTATTTTCTCTGGCTGCTGGAATGGTTCAAGTTGGGAAGGTTGGCCTACTACCAGCTACTCATTTTAACAAAGCAATTTTGGTCTTTTTTATGTTTTAGTGGGTTAGATACATACAGTTTGAGGATTATTATGTCTTTTTGGTTTTAGCTGTATATAATAGTGCTTATTGTCTTAAAGTCTGTTTTGTTGGATACTTACAGTACCCTTGGTTGTTCTTTGGCTAATACTGCCTTGGTGTGCTTTTTTACAATCTCTGCTTCCAAACTGTTTATTACTTACATCTAAGGATGTTCGGTGTAAACAACCTGTAGTTGGGGCTGGGGATTTAGCTCAGCAGCAAAAGCGCCTGCCTGGCAAGCG